GGGGGGCGCATGTTCTGGAAGGTTCGGCGCCCGAGGGGTCGATTCCAACGGGGCGGCGGGAAGCCGCTGACGTCACGCGGCCGGGCATTGTTCTCTCGGGCCGGGCGGGCGGGCGGGCGCGGGTGACTTTGGTTTGTGGGCTGCGCACATTCGCCCGTCTGCTTCTTCCCGCAGGTCAGCTCAGCCGAAGGGGCAGCGAAAGAGGAGGTGAGAGCACTGTGCCTTCTGCCTTGGGGTGGGTTTAATGCAAGTAGCTTTCCTCCATTACTTTCTCGCTGATTTTGTTTTTTCTCTTTCAAAGCCCAAGAGGAGATCGGCGAGGTTGTCAGCTGTAAGTAGAGCGAGCCCCATAACCGTTTGTTTTCCGTGGGATCGTACCCGGTGTAGAAACTTTGTGCCACTTTTGCCTTTCAGAAACCTGCTCCTGCAAAAGTGGAAACGAAGCCAAAAAAGGCAGCAGCCAAGGTAGGTTTCAAAATTTCCCTTAAGGTACAGTGTTACCTTAGAAAAGTTACAGTTGCTATTTAATATGCGTCTTTTTACTTTATTTGTATTTTCTTTATAGCTTCAGTAAGTAATTTCTTCCTGGTCTGGGTGAAATATAATGGACGCGTGTATGCATCCTGTTTATGGGAATATAATGTATCACATTAATGCTGCTGCAGAATTTGGAAAATTTAAAACAACGAAAATACTAGATATTGAGGTTACAAACGAAATCTGTTATTTGTGTTGTGTACCTTATGGTTGGTGCTTGTCCATTCGTGTCAATGAGAGAGCCAAGCCCCATGGGACTGAGGCCAGGAGAAAGGGAGTGTGTAAGTTTTTAGATACATAATTCCCAAGCCAAGATAGGGGATCTTAACATTTTACGTGGGGGAGTAGATCAAGAGTTGCGTTCTCTGAGATCGTAACTATTAAGTATTCTGAAAGCATTGTGTTTGCAATGATAAAAACGTAGTGGTTCTTGATCCAGAACAGATTCATCATTGCATTATTCAGATTGCAGTTCTTTGGAATGAAATTGTTCTGCGGTATATGTATGTTTGATAACGTTTAGGTTATACAAAGTCATTTATACTTTGTGTTTGGGGATAGCATTGAAACCGCTGTCTACAAAGCTCTACATGTTCGTGGTATGATTAATTTTTTTCCACTCAAAGCTTAAGTGAGAATTTGCTATTTGAAGTCTCCTCAAAAAAATAAAATCTTTGAGTCCAGCGCTCCTTTCCTAGAAGTGTTAGCACTGCATAATCTTTGGAAGAGGCAAGATCAGTTTTTTTGAGGCTGAGGAACTCTTGGATAACTAATAAACTTGTCCTTGTTAAATAAAGGCATAAAACAAAGTTTCTTTTGCTTTTCTTTATTTAAACGTTGTACGGAGCTTGGTATAAAATTCTTAACTGTATTTTATTCAACAGAAAATTCTGTTTTTGTGACCTTTTTAAAAATAAAGGTTTAAGGAATGTATAAGCATAGTAAGTACATCAACTTAGAATTTCTCACACCAGAAGACAATTCAGTAATTCTCTGTACACAAAGGCAGAGTACCGCAGAAACTTTTTATGGAAGCCTACAAAAAAAATAGCGGGTATTGTAAAATGTTGGCATGAGCCAGAGTACTGTTGTTACTAATCTTTTTTGATTCTTTGCTTTTTTTTATAAAAGATTTGGCCGAAACATTTGCCTATTTTTCTCTTAAATTTTTCTTCCTTTCTGTGTTTGTCTATATCTTGATCTGCCATTAAAAAATTGTTAGAATACTTCAAATTTTATCCCCAGTGGGTTTGGGCATCAAGTGTAATGGTCATTTTTCTTCCTCCCAGTGTGAAGCCAACAAGTAAGTCTTCGTGTCAGTGTTCCTTGAGAAACAAACCTGTCAATTCAGCTTTCCCAAAGGAAAAATGGGACAAGGGTTTTTTTTCTTTATTTTTACATCTGGTTTCCCTAATCAACTTTTGTCTTAATTGATCCGACTTTATTTAAAGCCATAAATAGAAAGTACTTGATGTATTGATTACCATACTACATGATAGAGATACTGTTTTTAAATTGTATGTTTTACAGTGTGTGCTTCTGGCTTATATCATTTCCTTAAAAGTAAATAGTTTAAAGGTTGAAACATCATTCTTAGGAAAACTTATTTTGTTTCACCTAACTTACCAGCTCTTAATGGTTATAAGTGTATTATCTCAAGTCTAGGCTATTAATGGATGTTCTATTTAAACTTTTAAGATTTTACATTTTTATGTTATTGGGATAATGGTTATGAAATTGAAAAATATCAGAAAGTCATCTGAAAAAATCAGATTACAAAAGAGTAGTTTTAAAGTACAAAGCGATTGTGACTTTTTATAGTAGCAGTGTGTGTGGTACTGTTGTCCCAAATACATTTGTTTATATAATTTCTTTTTTCTTTTTTTTCTTTTTCTTTTTTTTTTTTTTGTCTTTTGACTTTTTCCGTGTCCGGCAACGGGATTGCAACCCTCGGCGTTGCTCCCGCGCCTCGCTCAGCCAGTGAGCGGGAACCCGTCTGTATGTGGGATCCGAACCCTCGGGCGGGAGCGGCGCACTATCCAGTGCACCACCGGGCCGGCCCCTATAATTTATTTTTTCTAAAGATATGTTGAATTATTAGTAGTCATTATGTTATCCCACCATTAGTAAAAAATACTTTGCAGTGATCTTTTTTCCAGTCTTTGAGTTGAAGTTGTGAGATCTACCTGCATTTCTTTGTGACCCTTTAACTCAAGTAATTGGTCAGTACCCATAGGGATTTTTTTGTACAGTGTGCTTAATTTAGCTGTTGCTACGTTTTTTATTTACAGAAAATAAATGTTACATTTTTGTTAAGTTTTCTTCCCCATTGATGGATGTGTCCAAAAATTTCATTTTATATTGCTTTTAAATGACTTACATTTTGAGCGTCATGATGTTTCAAGTTATATCATACTCTAATACCTGTGCTTTTCAGATTCTTCAAACACCTAAATGAAAATGATAAACTGAAATTGATCCTTTCAGCTAATAATTATATGATACCAAGGCTTAACTGTAGCAGGATAGTCAACATGACCATACAACATGGTGCCTTTTTCAAATGAATGGTCTTAATGTGAGGGTAAAAGTCTTGTCAGGGTGTTGGTTATTTGACAGTTTGGTTATTACATAACGCTTGAAAGAAATTTGGGGGTTGGTAGGGTTACTGTGGGAAGAGATTTTTTAAACTTATTTGTTGTCATATAGATAATAGAGGGTGATGACCACAGTGGTGGTGAAATGTAGCTTAGGCTTTAGGTTTAATCTTCGTATGTCTAATAAGTTTTGATATCCAAGTGCCATTATAATTTTTCTTAGCATATATTGCTTTCCTGTTTACTAGGGATCTTAAGTTGTCCAACATAAAAGGTGTTATCAGATAACATATTGGTGTGTGTGATATAGCATTAACATGGTAGCTACTGTGGATACTATCTATATCAAGTCAGAAAATGTAAGAAAGTGTAAAATTTATATTTAAAATATATTCTTATTCTGTCATAGGATAAATCTTCAGACAAAAAAGTACAAACAAAAGGGAAAAGGGGGGCAAAGGGAAAACAGGCCGAAGTGACTAACCAAGAAACTAAAGAAGATTTACCTGCAGAAAATGGAGAAACTAAAAACGAGGAGGTCAGAAACAGTTTGTGTGTGTTCTTGATTTTGACTCTGAACAGTAGATACTAAATTGTATATTCTGTAGCAGATAAGACAGTTTGTATTCTTTATAATATTGAACAAAGCTTTGTACAGTAACTGCAAGTGAAGGGACAGGTTATTTTCTATGAATTAGATCTTATTTGAAAGTATATATATATAGGGGCTGGCGGGTTAATGACTTGGTTGGTTAGAGCAGGGTATTGGTAACACCGAGGTCAAAAGTTTGGATCCGCATACCAGCCAGCTGCCCCCCCCCCGAAAATGTTTATCTGTAAATGGCTTATTTCATAGGTGAGTGAACAAGAAATTTTGATACACTCAATTTCTCCAGTAACAGGTCCACTATCTGTGTCATGTACAGGTTTCATTCATAATTCTTAGTGTGAGTTTTAGAAAACATTTAATTTACTAAATGGCATAAAGCTCATTTTTCTTTCAAATGACCTTGAGGCCTTACTTAAACAAATATGTTTGTTTATTCTGTTTTTCAAATTGAAGTCTAAAGACCAGCCGTAATCCATTAGGAAATTCTTGAATAATCTTCATTTTGTTTTTATATTTTGGATATTATTTTAAAAAAAATTTTAAGGGCCGTCTGGTGGCGCACTGTGCTAGTGCGCTGCTAGGGAAGCGCAGAGGCGCTCCCGCCGAGGGTTCGGATCCCACATACAGACCGGTTCCCGCTCACTGGCTGAGCGAGGCGCGGGGGCAACACCGAGGGTTGTGATGCCGTTGCTGGTCCCGGTCCGGTACGGGGGCGACACTGAGGGTTGCGATCCGTTGCCGGACACGGAAAAAGACAAAAAAAAAATTTTAAGCTCATTTCCCTTATTTGCATTTTGCATTGACATATTTTTCCCACTTTTATTTCTAGTCAAGAAAGTGTTTTTGTTTTTATT